AAGCCAATAAAAAAATAAAAATTTAGGTTTGGGGCGTTGAAAAAAGAAAAAAAAAGAATTAAAAAAGTACTAAATAAGCAATTGAAATAAGCAGAATTAGAGAAGCCTAAACAATCTAGAAAATCTAAAGAGATCTACAGATAGCATCTAAAATTGATGAAAACAATCCAAAAATCTAAAACTTTAAAAAATTTGTTGATGAACAACTTTTAGAAACTAGTTCTTTAGTAAATGAATCTAAAATTATTGAAAATTAGACTATAAAATAAGAGAATGAGTATTAGGAACAAAGTGATATGAATCTTATAAATGAAAATGCAAACAATGACAATTCAAATGAAACCTTTCACCACATTAACTATATTACCAATAGTATTTTAGATTAAGTAGTTAATACTTTAAGTTAAGGTAATTTTAAATATAAATTATTTAGAACTTTTCAGTAACAAAAGTGAATTCAAATTGGTTATGTCACTTATGATAAACGAATTCTCTAATGTTGAATCTAAAACTTCAACATAATATATTCAAGAATATATCAAAAGTCTTTTTGATTTTATTTTGTTAAATTATAGTGAAGATCTTATTAGGAATCTTAATATTCCTTATGGATTCAGGCCATTAAGAAGAATACAATTAATGCATGGATATGATGTTGAAGATGACATACAAAATTCAGATTAAAGAAGTAGTCAAATAGCTTTTCCTATTGATCAATCTGTGTTTGTCTAGTTTGAATAATAGAGAATTGAAATGAATTCTAATAGGAGTGGTTATCAAAAGGACAATGAATATTACTTTGAGAATGTTCATAACAAAGCCATATTCGATGCTTGTAATGAAGCATTAAATTACTAGAGATAATATTATTTAAGTAAATAAATAAAAGATTTATTAATAGACCAAGGACAGCCATATCCTTGGGAATAATTAGAATATCAAGCCATTATTCAAAAAGACAAATTATCTACTATATTGAGAAATATGGAGGATAAAGTTCTCACTTGGTCCAAAACCTTAGGAGGATTTCTACCAATCGAAAACAATTATCAAATACCTATAGAGAAGTAAGAAGTGTTGGAGGAGAAGAACTCATAGCTAACAATTAGTTCATTGCATCGATTTGAAAAGAAGCCATTCTTAGATTCTTAATTACAGGAATAGATGCAAGAAAATTTAACAAGCATCAGGGATGAAAGAATCTATAAGTTATTAATTTAAGATGTAACTTATAGTATTAATTTGATAGATAAAAGAAAATGAATTTAGATGGTATCTTGCGGAAGATGATAGAGCAGAGTTTCTAATGGAATTTAGTGATGTAATTTTCGAGTAATTAGTAGAGGAAATAGTCTCGGAATAACTCTTATAATGAATATATATTATTATAAATAATTAAAATAATTGAAAGAAGAAATGATAAGCGATACTGTATTGCTTGTGTCAATTATAAGTGCGGCATCTATATTAGTAGTGATTGGGATATTTTGTATATGGAAAAAACTAAAGATTAGAACCATTAATAATTTGAATAATAAGCCAATGCCTAAAGCATATGTTGAAATTCCTGACAAAACTGATAGGCAAGCCAGACCCCCCACAAATCCATAATAATGTTCTCCAAAAGGGGATGAAGATAGTATAGCAATAAAACGAAAAGTAAAGAATTTTTCATCTGCAGTGGTAAACAAAAAGAAAAATCTCACAATAAAAATTCCAACAAAAGAAGAAAGTTGAATGAGCTCTAATTTATATCTATTAATTTTTTTGGTTTTTAGTAATTTGTAATTTTAATAATCACCGAAAAAAATAAAATTAACCCTAAATGATCTTGCTGCTATTATTTGATTTTGTTTAGTGTATGTAATTTGGTTATGAAGTGGATAAAGGATAACAAATTTGTTTCTAAGATTACTTTTCATAAAATGATGTATTCGATTTGAAAATAAGAGCAAATACTTCTAATTATGCTGTAAAATTAGAGGAAGCAGTAGCAAAGAGATATGCCATCTTATATGAAAAAAGCGGATCTTGGGAGCACAATTATCAACATTAATCAAGTCACAAAACTTCTCATTTGAAGTATTGCTTCATAAATTTGGAAGATGAAATTGTATTATTTAATGTTACATACAAAACAGGATCTGAATTAGCAGACATGCAAAAGGTAGCAAAAATATCAGATTTAAATCAAATGGGGGATAATATGAAGAAATTAAATGGTTTACTAGATGATATCAAAAGAGAAAGATCATTTCTTATATCAAAATATGATTATATGGATAAAATGCAAGGATCGATTTCAAAGAAACAGGTCGTGTTTGGCCTTTTGTGTTTAGGGTTGTCATTTATAATAACTGCTATTACTCTGAATTTGATAAAGAGAATTTTATAACAAAAAAAAACATAATGAATGTTGATTAGTATAGTTTATCAATTAAATATATATGAATTATTTGGGATTATCAAGAATCATTCTATCTCTGACTACTGTTACTCTTATTCCTCTTATTATTCATCCTATAGATCTTAATCCTCTTGCTAATTCAATTACTCCTCACTCTCATTTATTTAGATTTCGATTTCTGTTTTACATAATGGACATTGCTTATTATTCTACAGCCAATTTTTTATACAACTAGAATGATATATATGTTTGCAAGGCAATTCTCTCACCTTCTCTTCTTCCTTAAATTCGAATAAGCATACTGAACATCTATAAATAATCACACAATTCTTACTTGTCTTCTGGTATATTGGCTTAATTCAATGTTCTTTTTGGCAATTGCTTAATTTGTTATTTAGTCAATCCCTTAGGCACATTACTAATTTAATCAGTAACTTTACCCAATTTATTCTTCTAATTCTAAGAGTTGTTCATAAGTCATAGCATCTGGATCGATTTCTTGATCTTAGTATTCGTGAAGGTGTTCTAACTATTGTTAATCTCCTTGGTATAGATATTGCATTAACTAATATAATTGTTGTCTTGTAAGAGGAATATGATTCTATTACTATTGTTATTGATCATCCTTGACTAAAATAATTGCATACCTCTTAGTTCATATCTTGATTGGAGTTGTTTTGATACTTTTCTTGCATCTCATCCAATTCCTATTAGAGTTGATCAATCTATTCTTTTAATTACTTCTTTTTTGATTTCTATTTTTTTATTTTCTCTTCCAATTGATGAACTTATAATTCATAAGCCTGATTCGTTTCCTGCAGTTTATTTATTTATTCCACAAAGGATTCATTTATCTTTTTTCAATAATTTAAATACTTTATATTATTATTGAAGTCTATTGTTTAGAATTTTATTCTTCTTTATTAATTGCATATTCAATTAATTTAATTGATGCTCATTACTTAATTTCAATTAGAATATGTTATCCTACAAATGCATATATATAATATTACTTGTTATTTTAGATCAAATTAGTTTTGCTTTTGTATTCTTCTCTCGAATTGATTATGCATACCTCTAATCAAATAAATTTTAATCATTACAGTTCCTGTTCTTCTTGTTGCTTTATTTTTAGGTGCTGAGGTTAATCACTTAATAGGCTTTAATTACGAATGTTTGCTATGCCATTCAGGAACACTTTACCTGCTATCTAAACTTAGTTTCCTTTTAACAGAGGAGAGCCCTTCGTTATTTAAGGTCTTCTAACTTAAAACTATTTCACTTATTGCAAATTCAGGATACTAGGATTTTACATTAAATTAATTAATAAAAAAAAAACTAAAAGTCCTTATTTTATAATTCTAATAACGCCATAATGTTGATTTTGGGAACAGAACAAAGTTTTACTAAGATTTATTTGATGTCATCATTTTAAAGATAATCAAAGAAATTAATTAAAATCAATAAATATTTTTTTATCAATTTTTCTATAAATTCTAGACTAAAGTGATTTTATTCATTCTGAAAGAAAATCTTGAATCTAATCCTATTCATAAATCAATTTTTTCCAGCAACTAAATCATTTATAATCCTTTATTCCTTCTTCATACATATATTCAATCATATTCTAAACTAATTGAAAGAAAAGAATCAAAAAAATTACTAAAGATTAACTATACCATCATAATATTTTTCCATCTGATTATGAATTTCAGCGTTAATGTATATTTATAAAATATTGTTGACCTTATAATTGCAAAGTTGTGGCTATATTCTTTTCAAATATAGATTAGATTAGAATTTGAGTAAAATATGAAAACCTCCTACTTTGAAGGTGGATAAAGACTTTGAATTTATCTTTAAATGTAGTTAATATTTCTTGAATTATTTTATATCAAATTAATTGAAAAATTATTGAGTTAATTTTATATTCCGCTCTAGCCTTCTCAGCACGTATTAGTT